TCATTAGCTATATTGCTGGGTACTGCATCAAGCCCAAAGAACGTATCAAGATTTATAGGCATAGAGCAGACAAAATGACCAATCGCTGTTAGAAGAATGTGTATAAATGACCCTTGGGGTAACATACTTCTTTCTCTTTATTGGTCTGGGACAATAAATAAATAAATAAATAAATAAATAAATAAATAAATCCCTTCTCCCCTTTTTCACACCTGAGTCAGGAATGAGATTAGAAGCTTCAGCTTCAAACTGAGTGTATTTTATCCAAATGAGAAATAAGAAACCATAATTGGCTTTGCCTTCAAACCTGGATGCCCTTAGACTGCCTGGTAAATGATCCCAATTTTAATTGCCAACCATGCAAAGTGAGAACTTACAAAGAAAATGGGAAAAGGAGGAAAAAAGTCCAATTAAGGCTCATTTCTTCTCATTCTGGTAATAAAATATTGATGAAGGTAAGCTTGAAAGAAACAGATATTCTGGCAACCGGACTCAGGTCACTTTCAGAGAGCTAGCCCTTCTGCTTTCCAAATTTCTGATTCAGGATAAAATGAAACTGAGGTTCATCCTAGCTGTTGGAATAGTTTGCAGCTCTATTCTCTGCCTTCCCTTCCTGGATAATAAAGAATAGACTAGCTGCACCAGCTGACTGGATCGTCTCCTCACCCCCCCACCCCTGGCTTATCAGCTTGGCAGAAAACAATTGCCTTGAAAGGCAATTTCCCTGTCCGGAGAAACAATGGGGATATATCAAGACTGCAAGCCTCTGTTTACAAAACCATCTGATTAGTGGGGGTTCATTCTGCACCAAACTTTGGACTAATCACGTTTATCTGGAAATAGTCTTAGACCAAAAAAACCTCCCACAATGTTATGTGTTGAATCTTTCAATGTCAGAGCAAGGCATTTTGGCAAAGATACAGTCAGCTATAATCTAGTAATGTCACAACAGCTTGGCCCATTTGCAAAATGGATCATGTGAGGTTGGGGGAAAATAAAACCGAAGATTTTCCTCAGACCAGTCTTAGGAAGATTCCTCATTCCATTGGCTTTAGAAAGATGCTTAATGTTTCTTTTAATTTAAAAAGAATGGGCAGCTAGGATACTGCAAAATGCTAGCCTGTAACATATTGTTTACTTACAAAAAGGTTTCTGCATTCCATGTAACAATTCTTAAAAAATAAAATTGAGGGGTATTTTCAATCCAATTCTTTGCTTTTTACCTGCACATAAAATAGAAAATTAAGCTACATTAATTAATTAATTAATTAAGTAAGTAAGTAAGTAAGTAAGTAAGTAAGTAAGTAAGTACAAAACACCCTAGTTGACTAGAGGAGGTAAAAGAGTGTAACCTTTATTTTTTTTTAATTGGCCACCCATGTCATGGCAGCCATTTTGTTGATGGACAAGCTCCACCCACCTGGTGGCATCCTGTAATTCTAAATGAATTCACCAGATTAAAAGTTGTCCATCCTTCTCTTCCCGAAGATGGGAACACTCCAGGGATGTGGATTTCTACTGCCATTCTAGATGGGAATTGTACCAGGACTCTTGCCCACCTAGCCGGAGATATGGTAATGCCCCACTTTCCAGAGTCTTCCAAGAGAGCTTCTTCTGGTGAGGAAATGAGAGACTATAGGATCAGATCTGGTGCTTTTATTGCAATATTACTGTTTTGGGGAGCATAAACCAGGACAGTGATTTAGAATGCAGTGTATGCCTGTAAAGGAGTTGATTCAAGTAATCCAAAATGGGCTATAATTACAAATCATTACATACTGGATCCTTTATTTTGAAAACTTATAGAGACGTCTTATGACTTTTCTGATGGAGTAAGATGCCACTGAATTCACTGTTCAGACCCACTGCCTTCGATATTTTCTGTGCACTCCTACAGATGGCTTGGAAACCACCTACGTCTGGCAGACCTGCAGCGCTGCCATTGCAAATATGCAGTAAACCAATGTGTGCTTTTTCTCTTTTACAAGGTGATACATTCCATCTAAGAAGCTAGAAAGGTATTTCATCAGAGGACATGCTTCCACCTTGGTTGCTACACATAAGGGACTGAAGAGTTTCAGCGTAAGTTCACCCTGTGCAAGAATATATACTGTATGTGTGTTCTTTGACCTTTGGCCACCGAATTGGAAGTCATTTCACAAATTACCTTATGACATTTCTTTTCTGGCAGCTTGTTTTTCATAAAAAATAGGATAGGTAAGTAGATTAGATTTTATAGCACATTTGGCCTCTAGAACATATTGCACTGTGCAGTCAATTAGGTTGCAAAGAGTCATCTCTCAGTTTCTGTTCAATTCATTAAAAAAAGTCACGCCTCCCTTCCCCCACTTCCCCATCCCTTTTTCTTATCAGCAACCAAATTCTGGTAGTTCCCATAAGATCTCAAAAAGAGGACATCCAGCCAACTGGCTTTAAAGTAAACAATCAGTGAAAAGCCGGCCCGTGCAAATGAGTATCTTTAATGAAGCAATCCTTTGCAGAAAGAAAAAGAAAAACCATTATTTGCAGAAATGAAAAAGAAGGATGCAAGAAAGGACAAACTAATGATTGGTGGGTCCTGCTAAAGAAACGCATACTGTATGTGCAAGCCCTTTCCCAATTTTCTAGTCTCCTGCCCCCCACCACCACCACCATACCTTGGAGAGCAGTAACTCTAAGATGATTTGAAACAGAAGGAGGAAGTTTTGAAAACAGTGGAAAAGGAAGGAAAAGCTCTGGTTACTCACTCTTGATTGCACTTCCTGTTATGACCTCGTTACACTGTTTCAAAACCTCCTGAGGACTGCAAAGTCCTGAGCTAGCAGGAGGAAAGTAAGATTGCTTGCTACTCACTATGTCGCTCAAGGCTAGCTAGTAATATTTCTGCTTTGACTACCTGAATTATTAAATCTCCTGGATCTCATTTCCCACCATACTTAATTGCAGCTCCAAAAACCTGGAAAAGCTGCTTGAAGAATCATTCAAACTTGACAAGTGTCTTTTAAGTGGCGTTTACTTAAAGACATCTGAAGATGCCTTAAAAATAAGCAAGTTGAAAATAAGGCTGATTCTCTTCCCTATTGGTTAAAAGCCCTTTGGCAGTTAGACAGTTTCTAAGTAGCCTCTCAGCTCAGTTTAGTATCCGGAGCACAAGCCAAGTTTATCTGTTATAGCAAAAGTAACAAACACATTGGTGACACCATGAAGTTGTCATAAGCTTCCTGGAGTAGTCTGTAAAATTTTAGACCATGACAAATTTATTCTTCTTGAAGATGCTACAAGAAGACTCTTGATTACTTTTCCCCCCTGGTTTTCTATGACTAAATCTCTTATCTTAGGCAGAATTTCACTTCAAACTCTTGAGTGTGAACTGGACCCTTAATGCAATCTTTGTTTACTTTCCTAATATAATCTTTATTCTAACATTCATGGAAGCAGTGGAACATTGTGGTGGAAACCATCAAGAATATTAGATACTGATAAAAGTTGATACTAAGGTAAAATAACATAAAGGAAAGGTCCCTGATTAATGAGGCAGTCTGAAACTGAAGGTGCAAATCTACCTTATAAAGGTCTGGTATGCTTATTATTTTAATCCCATAATAAGATTTGTTTTGAGAAGCACTTAGTATGATCCACCATAGCTTGCAAACTATAGTTTGTCTTGTAGCATAGTTCACAAATCACACTGAACTCAAAATAAATTATTCACTTTATGAGTTAGCATTATATGTAAGTTGTGTTCTTATAGGCCTTGGGGATAGATTTATGACTTGAAGAAGTGTCTGTTGTGAACTATTTATTCAGCAATCCATTCAATACTTGAAAGATATTGTACAACAAAATCATGTGGTATTAGTAAAAGCAGACAAATTTATTATCTTGTTTCATGGTGAAAAATCATTAAGTCATGTTGTGCATCCAAGATGTAAAATACATTACAAATGCAATACAGCTAGTCCCCAGTTTAAGAACGAGTTCTATTCCCAAGGTCTGCCCTTAAGTCGAATTTGTATGTAGACTGGAATAGTATTATTGTATAATACTGTATAAATAGTATTGTGTAATTAACTTGAACCATTGTGTATTTAACTCGAATAACTGTATATTTAACTCACATTTTGCTACAATAGGCTCCGTTCTTAACTAAGGGTCATCCTTAAACCAGTTCTTAACCTGGGGACTACCTGAACATAGAAAAGCATTCAAAAACTTTTGGGAGGGAAGTCCCCCAAGCTGATACTGTCTAACTGAGATGCTGAGAGCCAGCTCTGAATTATTTGAGAAGAGGGGGAGTAGAAATATGGCATGAACCAGTGACCTACTTCCTTTCAGTTGAATGGCTGATCATTTATTGATACCCCTAGTCCAATCTGGGGGCAGAGCAGCTATAGTAAACGACTAGAGTGACCTTCCTGAGGCCGCCATCTTCTAGAAGTGATGTATTTATACATTTCATCATCCTCAGCCAGTGACCCAGTGGAGAGCAGCAAGTTGGCAAAGGCAGAAACAGAATAAATGGTTATGACCAGCTAGGAAGACCTGAAGTTATCAATGACATTTTGTGAAAAGGCCAGTTTGGGCTTTAGTTGCTTCAAATACTTGTGAAATTCTCTGGTACATTGAAGGAAATGACTGTAATTCTCCACAGACCAAAGCCCACAATCAGATGTTACATTTTCTTGCCTAACGGCAGTGTTTGGTGTGGTCGCCTGCGTTCTTGGAGGAGTAAATGAGGCTGTTACAGGATACCGCATATGTTGCAGGGCAAGAACTCCTCCCTTGGGCAGGTTGCCAGCACCGACTGCAACTGCAGCTACAGATTCTGGCCTAAAAATGAGCACTAAAGTGAATGAGACGCAAGTCTGGCAAGAACGTTCCAGAGGATCCACTACTGCCATTCAAAAGAAGGGATTGCTGAAATGCTGAACTCCTCACAGTGATGGCCAGCTCACTGAAGCACTGAAGGGTATGAGATTTTGGAAATGTCCAAGCTAGAAATGAACAGCCATTATGAAATATGCCATGAAAAGAAGCAGTAAACATTTTAATTTCCTGTATAATTTGATCATCTGAAATGCAGCATTCCTTTCGATTCACATAACCATGAATATTTTCCTTTCTGGGGCTGAGTTACTCAAATGCCAGGATGTAACAGATGATTAATCTCTGAGGAGGAAGTTCATATGCAGGGAAACATAGGGTAAGAAATGGCTATATTCAGTTATAATCCCAGTTAAAAGTTCCCCTTTTCTTTTCTTTTTTTTCTTTTTAACCAAGCTTTTGATATATTTAAAAATGACTTGGGGATACTTTAGCAACATTTAAATGGAAAGTATCAATAACAGTGAAAATCCAAGTGGATGAAGTGCCAGGAACACACCCCACATAGCAAAGATAATGTCAGAAAAGTCTCCCCCCCCCCAAACCCTATTCTACAGCTAAAAGAGCTGAAATAAAATACACGATGGGATAACAAGGTTGCATTGCACATTTTTTTGGGGGGGGGTTGTTTAATTAGTGCCACAGTACAAGGGGCATCTTTTATCTTTGTGATTTTTAATTCATATTGTAGCAACATAAACATACATACTTGTTGGTTT